CTTAGAACTGCACGTGCTGTATGCTGCGGTCAAACATAAGACCGGCACGACAACCAACGGATTATAAAAGAACACAAACAAAGTGGATCAAAATCGACCAATTTGACCTTTTAAACAAACTAAAATAACATTTTTGTTTCCTAATATCTCTGCTAACATAATTGATGAACCGATTGACGGCAGCGTAAAAAGACATTTTATGCCTAAGATGGGTCCGAAAACAATTGTTTAACTTAAAAACGCGCCATTAGTATAGGTAAACAATTAAAGAAAACCTCTACGAAACTATCAAACAAATCAGTTAGCTGGAAAATTCAATTTTAAGGAATAATTTGTCGTCCTTCACATACTGATCATGAGGGCTGAAAACCTCTTCAATTAAAGCAAACTTTACAAAACCGCATCCTGTACAAGAAATGGCTTCAGTCGGCTTCTGAAACGCTGACAGGTTTGGCTTTGCTTGCATGCTTTGGCTGATGTGGCGTTTGGCGCCACTCTGATCCAAGATGGAGAGGGTGATTCTTTGAGTAAATGGCCATCTAGCTTCGATGTTATCAAATTTTCCCATCATCATGTGGACAAACATGGCCACGTATCTGCCACTTTCATTTTCCACTCCATTGAGGTAAACTCTTATTCCAACCTTGTATTCATAGCTATCAGTATGAATGGCTGAACTGAAGAAAGCCATTGGCTCGCCATTTACGTCACCTTGGCGACGCTGTTGAACTTCTGTTATTTCCAAAATAAAAAAAGTTTCCCTCGGATTTATCTTGCTTCTTGTGACCTTTTGTGGGTTGACCCTGAGAATAAAATACAATTTAATACCCATTATTTACATTACTCTATTTCCCTTTAAGATCATATAACGGTGTCAATGTTGTTGATTAAAGCTATCGTTATCACTTCTTTAGTCATAGTTTATTGCAAGGCTTATTCGATATGATGTAGTGCATACATACGAAAAGATGCAACTATTAATCAGATGAGAATGTATTTAACAAGAGGTGCCCAATAAATTCCACCACGCATATTATTCACTTTTGCCATATGCGCCTTAAAACTGTGAAGTGCTAAACGTATCCCTCTCAACAGGCAATTGTAAATAAAAACAGTATTACATATTTGGTGGCGGCTGGCATCTTTTTGTTCTAGTGCGGTTTCAGCATTTACGTTCACTGACATAATAGCTGGAAATTTATATCGACGTGTATGACCCACAAAAAAATCTAGCATAAAAATGCTTTCCAAATGGTTGAAAAAGTGTTGATTACCGAGGTATTATGATTTGACAATGCATTTGATTTCCCATGCAAATGTAGTATGTGTAACATCAACTTGCCTGTCACATTCTTGCTTCCACAATTGCAATTCCTGGGGACTACACTCACGTTCCGCAGCCTGTTCCGTCTGACCTGTGGAACTCACTCCATTTATGTCGGCACCAATGAGCTGGTGGTGACATGGAGGCAGGTCTTCATGTTCTTCTGGCGTCCGCTCTCCAGAAGGTCTGGTCTCCTGAATAGGGTGACGTACTTCTTGTCTATCTCGCCTCTGCAATCCGTCCAGGCCCATCTCCTGAGTGGGGTAGTTCAGTGCATTAGCCTGTGCACTCTGCAGGTCACTGCGGGACTGCTGATGTTGTCCATTCACCAACTGACGTGTACCCGGTTCCTGAATGGAGAGGGATTCTTCCCTGGACACAACCTCTCCACCATTCCGCAAGGAATGGTTCAAATCATTGCTTCTTCCTACATCGCTCTGCTGGTAAACTGGCTGCCGTTCCCGCGTATTCAATCCTGCAATCTCCTCCATTTCTGGGATGGGACCAGATATTTCACGGGCTTGTCCACCAAGGGCCATTGAGTGGCTCATTCCATCACCCTGATCATCATTAGCCTGCTGCTGGTCGACTGGCTGCCGCTCATGCGCACTCAACCAATGGCCGGCAACAGCAACATCTTCCACTTCTGGGATGGAGCAAGATATTTCACTTTCTTGTCCACCAATTGCTATGAGGTAGCTCGATGCATCACCCTGACTATCATCATTTAGCTGGTAGGATGGCTGCCGTTCTTCTTCGTCCTGCATCCTTTGACTGAAGTTCTGCTCCTCTTCCTTATCAAGGGGAGAAGGTCCAACGCCCTGCTCGTCATTTCCTGATTCAGGGATCGCCTGCCCGACAGGTAGCTCAGCTGGAGGAGTATTGTCGCTTGAGACACAGCTTTGAACGTCATCTATGCGCTGGAATAAATGTAATACAGACAAATGACTTCATTCATACAGTACTGCTGTTATAGTTGAGAACAGCACAAACAAATTTTGGGAATAGAACTGAGGGATATTGAGAATCCCCACTGGTGGGGGGCTGACCGTTCTGCTATTCACAATACACGGCCGGGGAGTTGAGCTCGGGACTACCGCGAAGAAGTCCCGCTAATAGTAGCTAGAGGACCTCAACCAAGGGCCTCTAAATTTCAAATGCAGCGTCGTAAACCGTTAAGCCACGCCTTATCGGCCAAGACGATTCAACGACAAGTATTTTGCTGTATTTGCCAAATCAGTGCCTTACGTAAAAAGATAACACCTTTCTTTCCCGATTTCTAACCAGCCTGGTATGTATGTTGCAAAGAAAGGGTGAGCTGTCAATAAAATTATTCACTATAACGGAAGTATGAAGAATATTGAGCTGTGTTGTTTACTTCGTTGCCAAAACTGCTTGTTTAAACCCAGATTACGCGTGTGTTGCTTGGAGGTCGCAAGAATCGTCATATAAGGTTGCAAGGGGGTACTAAAAAAGGGTAGGTAAAGTAGGTAGGGGTTATAAATGCCATTTTCTGGTCCAATTTTTCCCAGATTTCATTTCCATCTTTTGTTATGAATCCCAGTCCCTGTGACCAAAATACAATTTTTCCAGTCAAAGTATATGCAAATTTTACTTCCAAAGTTACCCCAGCCGGCCCCTCTTGCAACTACTTTCGATCATAAATTCCACAGAGGGCTGTCGAACATGCGATGCTATCCATATTATTTACAATCTTATACATGTACATCATTATTGATTTATCAGCAAGGTGTTGAAAGTCCAGTTTTACCCAGTTTACCATTCGCAACAATTCATCAGTACTACGTTCGTAATTTGAAAAAGTTATGACACGTGCCGCACGATTTTGTAATTTTTGTAACTTTTGAGAAAGACTCTTAGAACAGGATCCCCACATCGAGCTGCAGTAATCGAGATGAGGCTGGACTAATGAATTGTAGATGGAAAGTAGAGTCTTATATGGGACCGCATACCTAATACGTTTAATGGCACTTATACCAGAAGTAATCTTTTCAGAGAGCTCGTTAATATGACACTCCCAAGTTAGATTTTCATCAGTGTGTACACCTATGGGTTTTACAGTCGAGACTTGCTCGTCGGAAACTGGTTAATTGTGGCAGTGAGATTCGCTGTAGAATTTAATAACCTTTGCTTAGCACCAGTCAGTAGAAATTCTGTCTTTGTCATTTTTACAGTTAGTTTGTTGGCTGCAAGCCACACACGAATTCTCTCCAAATCAAGATTAATACAATTATTCCTTTCATCAACATCACTACCAGCAAAAGTAATACTAGCTGATCATCAGCGTACATCCTTGGTTTAGAACGCTGGAGACAATTAGGCAGATCCTTTATATATAACAGAAATAGAAGGGGCCCGAGAATCGTTCCCTGTGGAACACCACGGTGAAGGAACATTTTAGATGATTTATTTACTAAACACATTTGGGTTCGTTCTTTAAATAAGAGCAGAACCATTGGTTTGTGGAACCCTGAATACCATAAGCTTGTAATTTTCAAAGAATAGTATGGTCCGCAGTATCGAAAGCCTTCTTAAGATCTAAAGTTACAACGGCATTAATTAAGCCACGATCGATGTTTAAAGACCAGTTATCAGTGGCTTCAATCAAAGCAGTAACTGTAGAATGAAGCGAGCGAAAACCAAATTGGTGTCTACTGGGAAGATCGTTTTTGTTTAGATAAGGATACAACTGATCATAAAGAATTCGCTCGAAAACCTTGGCCACAACCGGGATAATCGATATCGGTCGATAATTAGAAGGATCACTCCCACTTCCAACTTTCTTAAAAAGAGGCGTGATTCTTGCACCCCTCCATTCATCGGGAAAAATACCAGTGTCGATCGATTGATTGAATATCAGAGCGAGTGACAACTGCTGGTTTGGTTAACAAATTCATCGAAAAAGGTGCCCACTTATTCTATATCCCTGGACAGTTCGGGACCAATTTCTGCCAAAAATTTATTAAAACCCTCTGCGATTTCGGTTGAATTAGTTATTCTCGCTCCATTGAGCTCAAGCTCATTAATTGCAGCTTTATCCGATTTGCGGCGTGTCACCTCACTGATAGTTTCCCATGTCTTGCAGGAAATTAAATTGAGGACTTTTTTTCATTCTTGATAGCAATGTTCACTTCATTACGCAACTTCTTAAAATTACTCCAATCACTTGGATCGCCTGTCCGCAAAGTCTTAATTTTGAGACGATCTCTCCGATATATCAAATTCTTAAGCTCGGGGTTAATCCATGGACTTTTAGAGACACGAACGTGTTTAGTGCGGAGTGGAGCGTGCAGATCACCCACTTACGATTAACTAACGATTAATCTAATCCTTTAAGTGGCTAAACTGGCCTTGTTTCAAACATTTATCCTGAAGGTATAATTAAACCTGCAACATATATAGCATCGTAGCAAAGACCTGCAGGTAATATAACTTCCCAAGCAGGGGGATGAAGGGCAAATGGAGCTTTACTCAAGATGGGAGCATAACTCAAGGAGGTCCAGTCCCTTAGCCATTAACATTTTTCACCAAAAAGGTCACCCTTTCAAATACCCTACATGCAAACTAGCACCTGGGAAAGGGGGAGTAATTGACAAAGTTTGACGATTGGAGACACAACAAAAAAGGTAACCTTTTCATATCCATCCATTAAAAAATGGTGCCCCTTTCACACGCTAAAGTGGTCAAAGGACAGGTATATAAGCCAATTTGGTTAATAATTGAGCGACTTTTACTAAACTTTCACTTGAGCAAAAAGTACTTTGATTAATCTGGTGTTGTATGGCTGCTCAAAATATTTTGAATTCCAATCAAAATAACTAAATAACGATTAACCTAACCCTTTGAACTACCGTGGTTGAAATTTTACCTGGATCCTGATAGCATACTATCAACTAATATCCTGTGTAAGATCACATGTAAGATTCTGTAGGATATACTGGATCCTACAAGATCCCGAAATAGGATCCTATAGGATCCCACAGGATCTTCTACAGGATCCTATGTGAGGTTTTACAAGATCCTTTTTATTCTCCAGCATCCTCTTACATACCATTCGTTATTAGGATCCTCAAAATTCCTACAAGAACCCACGGGATCCTAGCACATCCTTAGGATCCTAAATAGGATTAAACCAACTTGTGAAATCACTAGCTCCTTTCACGCAGAGTTCCCTGTATAGTCCATTATAGGCAGTGCACCACCCATCTCCCCCACCCCTAAGCTCAGGTGAAACAGGGAAACACCATTGATCACATCTTGTAAAGTAGATTTTCATTAATTATACAGATTGTATAAATCATGTACCTGGCTTGTTCTCTTAAAGAACCATTTCTCCAGTCCACGGACAGTGTGTTGTTTGCCACAGGCCTTCCTTGTACAGATCAAGGGTTGATCCTCTTTCATTTTAAGGAGGTGGAAGCACTCTCCATCTTCACATGACAATTTTCCATGGTTAGGGCACCCTTGACCAACCCCGTCTGTCCCTTGATTACAGTGTGGGCAGGCTACACAAAACTCATAATGCAGTCCACTCAGGTATGGCAGCTCCTGTGACAAGGCCTGCAAAGTTCTTTCTATAAACTCACGTACTTGTGTAGCTACTTCTTCTGACTTCTCTGCTGAAAACGGATTACTTTTCATCGATTGCCTTAAGACAATCTTGATGAGACTCTTCTTGCAGATAAGAATGAAATTATGGAGTTGCTTCCCAATTAAAAACTGAGCTCCATTTTGGTATAGCTTGGGGTGCTCCATCGACCAATTCTTACAACACCAACGAATAGATCGTGAAACAAGCTGTGAGAACAGACCATGAGGGACAAAGCCATGTACAAAATGAATATAAAAAGGACATGGATCACTGTGGGATGGCTCTATTTGACAAAACTCTTTAGGCGATGATTTAAGCAGAGCAGGTACAAAGTACTTTACGTCAGTCGGAGAGGGTGAGAACTTGGCAATAAGATCAAACTGCTCCATCATGTCTAAGATGTCATCTTTGATAATACCTTGTTGAACAAACTTGGAAAAGACATGATCAATGAGTTCCATGCAGAGGATGCCATTTTTTTCTAGCTCAAGCCAGTGCTTGCAGGAAATAGGATCCTAAGAAAAAAAGGCCAAAAAACAACTAAGCTTACAGTCAAAAATATACATATACAGCTACCCGGCTAGTTACTTTAGACATGCATGAGGCTATAGAAAGATTTCATTGACGATCACACCCTCACAAGTACAGCAGTTCTCTCAAGTGGGAAATAGTTCTACGTCAAAACTACCTGTTATAAAATCACAAATTCTGGGAAATACGTTCATGAATGAATGAATGAATGAATGCTTTATTTAACGTGGATATACGCTTAGCTTAAGAGCTAGTTTACAGGTATTCCACCTAATAACTAATAAGAACCTAACAACTATACAACGCCAATATCACAATTCATCAGGTAAAAATCACAAATTAAATACTGATTAAAACTATTCAAAACTATTATAAAAATATTACCGCCGCAGTAATACTATTAAAACTAATGTCACAAATTTACTAATCTCCGAAATTTAGCGATCTAATTCTGCTATCGTCATATTAGACAAAGATTGACAGACATTCCTAGAAGATAAGCTCACTTAATGGTTCCAAAGTAGATATAACTTAAAATTCATTAAAACATAGTACAAGGTAATGTAAAAAAAGTTTTCAATTACTGCTACCTATACTTACAAGGCATCTGCTCAGAAATCTGCTAAGGAATTTGGTTTTATGATGTTGAAATAACCAAACAAAAAAAGTAAAATAAACATAAATAACTTGGGTCAATGTCTGCAATGATCGATTAAAATTAGCTATTTATGCAAGCTATAGCTTTAAAAATTGAAAATAATTATAATTCAATATTTGGTTTTCCTGACTTGGTGGTCAAAGTACATATATCTAACGGTTTAGCCAAATGAGTAGAAAGATAAATATAATAGATTTTCAGCCGCCCAAATATCTGAAAGTTACTACAGAACACTCCAGATGAAGATCAGGTATAGATAAAACACTAAAATGTTCACTATTGAAATTGCGTTTCCTACCATTTTCATGAAGGTTGGAATAGTTATCAACTGCTGTAATAGGTCAATGAGCCACTGAGTCTTCAGAACAACTGTACTGCGATGCTTGATAATCATACCAAGGCCATGGTAGAAACTGATCATACTAGCAAACTCATCAGCATCTTCTATAAAGCAATGCTTTTTGGCATAGCTTTGGAGTTGCTTCAGACTTATGTGATAGATTTGTTTAGCTACCAAAGCTTCAATCGCCTTTTCAAACAGAAACCATCTAAAAGAAAATCAAAGAAAATGTACTAAATGAATGCCAAGCCATTATTTCTACTATTTACTGTGAAGTCACCGGACTGTTGCCAGATGACCAAGACCATGTTCTCACGGCTTTTGTCTTGAATAACTAACAATGAGAGTGCAAGAACTGTGAAAGCGGATTTGTCAAGATCACACGTTCGTATTCAAACAATTGATATTTATCTCTGCCTTAAATAGTTCTTGGATTTGATTTGCTAGTTAAATGAAAAAAAATTTTGTCCAAAATTAATCAAAAACTTTGTTAAGTGACAGCAGTACAGCAATCTCTACTGTAATGCCATTTTAATTTGAAAATTCACCCTCTTCTTAAATATGAACTTGAAGTGCCACTGTTTGAGAAGGAATATTAGCTCAAATACACATCCTGGATATTATGTTTACTACCCTTCTTATAATTATCATGTCTTGAACACATCCTGAGCCTGGATCTGTGTAAATCTTCATTCCCGTTTACTGAGGCAAATGGCAGTAAAAACATTTTCAAATAAGAGGAATCAAATTTTAGTTACTTGTAACGTACAATGGAACCTTATTTGCCAGACACGCATGGGACCCTCACTCAAAGGGTCCCCTTAAGGTGGCTTGATTGGATTTTTGAGTAATGACAGTGTTCAACTTTGAGCGACTAGCTCAACACCAAAATCAGTCCAACAGAAAATTGAACCGTAAAAGGTACTAGAGAAAGAAGAAAGTATTAAATGAGGTATGTTACACCATGATCACCATAGCAACGTAATAAATGATGCCATACCTCTTTTTACATGAGACACAATAACTAATCATCGAGGGATAATTCTGGAAATACAGCGTGACATGACACCACATGACATACATACATTAAAACATGGTGTCTGCCTAATTCAGGGTCTGCTAAATACAGGTGTCTGTATGTAATTTTTAATCTTTGGTTTTGCATATCATATTATTTCATTATTGGATATCTCTTGAGACCAACATTCAAATAATGTTGATGCAGCAATCCATATTTGCAGTCGTCCGGTTGTCCGTGACAACTAAAAAATCGTAGGGACGACTAGTTTAGTTTGACTCTACCAGAAAAAAAAAAACTCTTAAATTTTCTTATGAGTTCCCTGCATTCTGACCCCTTGTCATCCATTTGGAACTTTTAGAAAACAGAGAAAGACTTGCAGTTTTCTTTTGTGATAAAATCATCATTTTGGACCGCCATATTTACCTGACTGGTATCTTCTGCCCCATATATGGGTCCTGTCTCAACACCTCCATGATTTTATTTCGCAGTTCTTGAATGTCATCTGTGTTCCCCTCTTGCTCTATAAATTAAGACAAAACATTTTGACACTAACCCTGTCAGTTTATCCTAAATTGAGATATATAGGTATCCTATAAAGAGGTTGAAATTTGAGAACGTACAAGAAAAGCAAACCAGCAAAAAACACTAAAAAGTCTGTTCCTTTCTCTGTGAAGGATTAACTTCCACCCTAGAAACTGCAGGAATACGAAAACGAATTAAATCCACCGGAAGCAGCATGCTTGACAGCAATACTGGCAATAGCTGACCTGCACCAAGCTCTAGGACATATTTAGCTAAGGAGACACAAGCTAACTAAGCACAAACTGTATGAGCTTATGTGCTATAAAAATACAAATAGACGTTTCCACTGAACCCTTTTTAGTAAGCAACCAAATTACACACATATGTACAACATATTGAGAGCACAAGACAAGGGAAAAAACCTGACTCTCGTACAGGACTTGAACCAGTGACCTCTCAGATACCAGTGGGACGTTCTAACTACTGAGCTACAGCAAGACTCACAAGTGGTGAGTACGTGCAAGCCTCAACTATTTTCTTTCTTTTATCTGGGAAAGTGATGTCTGTGAAGCCCCATTGCTAATCACGCCATAGTATCCTGCTGTTTCTCCAAAATTCAGGGACTGCGTTCCAATTAGTTGCTGACAATAAGTACTTTTTAAAGTTGACTGTGACTAGCTATCAGCACGATGTGCTCAACATAATTTCTGCAGTATTATATAAAGACAAGTTTTTCATCAACTGAATATGTTTGATAAAGTGCTGTGTTCTATGCTTAACTGAAGATTAACTACTTAATGACCGAGAGTGAGGTCGTTACGGGAAAATCTCAAACTGAGGCCTTGCCGTATTGACCGAGCGATAGTGAGGTCAATACGGTAGGCCGAGGTTTGAGATTTTCCTGTAACGACCGAACGGTCGAGGTTATTAAGTTGTTTATTATATGGCTCATGAATTTAATA